ACTTCTGAGATGTAAAGGGTGTTTTCACATGGGAGCCAGTTTACCAAGTAACTAACGGTGAACAGACCTTACCTGCAGGCTCTGTGGAGTGAACCCAAATTCATCTGTGTGTGTTCTACTAGATGGACATACGTTTAGCATAAACTCCCAGCAGAAACAAAGGGAGGCTGAAGGCTTCTTATAGCAAATCAGTAAACAAAAAACAAAACCTAACACCTACTCCCCCCCCCCCAATCCCAAGCAACATAAAGGGAAAAGGTGATATTTGCCCTGGTGGAATCTGCAATAAAATTCCCTCACTTTTAGGTGAAGTACAAGTAATTTAAAAAACTAGTTTATGCCAGTTATGGATATTTGTCAATTTGTTGGCAGTTTCTTTTTAGTTTTTAATCTAAATAATATGAAATATAGCCCATGTCCTCCAATTTTCTTTTTTTTTTTTTTAATTTTGTATGCTTTTTAAAGCTCAGTAAAATTGAATATGTACATCTACATATGCCTTACACCAAAATGCCGTGATGGTCTTATGAACTACCTCACCTGCAGGCGACAGCTCTTGCAGGTAAAGTGGCTCGTCCGCATGCAGTGCCAAATAAAGAAGTGACTGGCAACTGGATTTTTAACTTTTGAAATATAGAATTACTTTTGTGTGTAAAAAGAAGCTGTGTGCAAGCAAATAAGGTTTTAGGATAGGGATGTGTATTTAGCCCTACGTCACTTCCGATTTCACCACTGGCATCTCACAGGTTCTCAGCCCCCTGCGATGCCGCCTTCTTTCAGCTTATCAGTTCTACGTGCCAGATGCGAGGAGCTAGAGAGGCAGTGCAGGGTGGGGAGCTGTTGAGAGAGAGGTCCTTCTTGCCAGCTGTCCCACTGCATTGTGGGCCAGCTCCACCGCTTGGCGTGGGGAGAAGTGGCTTTCTGCCTCTAGTACAGCCGGCTGCAGCCATATCAGTAGCTGCTCCTAAAAGGTTGGTGATGGAGATTTGATAATTGGTCAGCTGTCTGTTCTGAGCTACATGGGCAGAACTCTTAAAGTCTCACCTAAACCTATCTCACTAGAGTTCAGGTGCGTTCCTTCTTGTCCAGCTCACAGGGAAGAAAAAAGTATTCCCTTTGGCTGTACAGCTGTCTTCTGTATCTTTTACTCAAATTTTCTTCTCTTTTAATTTTTTCTGATGAAATCTTTGATCATAGATGATGTTTTCTAGACTGCTAATCAGTCTTACTACTTTCCATTGTTGATTGCATTTATTTGGCCTACTTTTTTTTTTGTTTAAAGTTTTCGTACATCAGTCTGGACACAGTCTTGCAGTTGATGCCTTGGCGTTGCTAAGGAAAGCTGATTGTGATTACTTCTCATGTCTCGCAGGCAATACTGTTATATATGCAGATTATGTGAGGTTTCCTTTTGTTTCTGCAGTAACATGATATTGACTTGCTTATGATCCATTGTAACTAGCAGCTCTTTACACGGAGCTTCTAGTCATTCTACGTATTCTAGTTGCACAGCTGATAAATATATTTTTTTCCTACTGAAATGCGTTACTTCTTGTCCATTGTTAAATTGCATTTTTTTTAAGGTGATGTTTATAATTTGTCAAGGTCATTTTGATTTGTGACCTGTCCCTTAAAACTGTTACAACTTCTGCCAACTTTGTGATGTCATCCACAGACTTTATTAAATGTGTTTCACCAACTTACAGAAGGACATCAGATCAGAATGTACCTGTTAATCCATGATTAACTTTTCTGTTACTCTACTAGTGCATGTGTAGTGAGTAATGAACTTGCAGTGTAAAATTTTCTTACAAGCTGCATGACTACATTAGTAAAAGGCATGCCTGAACTCAAATGTATATCTGAATCAAATGCAGCTGGATATAATGGTGCTTGTCTGAACTGAATGTGAAAACTGCCTAGGTTTGAACCTCTGTTTGGATGTTTTTTTTTCTGAATGGAAAAACAGATTTGCTGTTATTGCCAAACATGGCTAATGCAGCAATTATTTTTGCTCCTTAGAATTATTTCTGTGTTTATTTGAACAGTTATCATATTATGACTATTTTCTTTTCTTTCACAGTCTCTTTGAGGAAATTTAAAATTACTGTTTATTTAAGAAAGTAAGTCTTTGCAGTAGCTGAAGATGAAATGTTTTATTAACAGGTGAAGCTGATATCTTGGACATCTGCCTCAGGCCTGCCTCCTGTATGCTGAAATGTAGTCTCGGGGCATACTCGTAGAAATTAAGACCATATTACTTTTACTACAGTACAACAAACACCTCTTTGGATAAAATAAGGAGATACACTAACCAATAGTTTTAAAATATTTTGGATAGCTGTAATGTATCTGGGTCACAGTTCCTGTCTGATTGAAAGGCAAAGGATTTACTTAAAGGTTTAAATTACAGGATGTTGAAACCTGGGTTATCATAAATGCTATTAAATATTTAGATTTAATACTTCCTTCTAACAAACTATTCTGGGTATTTTTTTGAAGGCTCTGGCAAACTGCATTAAAAGAAGTTGAAAGCTTTGCCTTACCAGTGAGGGGTTTCAGTAGTGGTGAAATAACTTCTTTTTAATGCTAAAGGAAATTTTCAGGAGAGGTCTAAGATTAATAGAGACTAACAAGGCTGAGGAAACTGGCTTTACAGAAACGGAACGGTTTGGTAGGAAGAAATGTAATTTTGTTGCAACCAAGAGAAGTGGATTCTTGCTGTACCCTCAAGATCGCTAAAGCATAGATAGCACTTCATCTTACCAGCTGCCTGGAGGCCTCCCTTGCCAAAACTCCTGTTGTAATTGTTCATAATCTAAATTCTTAAAACGAAAATCCAACCACAGGTAACTTGTGAGTATGGATTAAACTGGTATTAAGCCCTCTGTTTTTATAAAGGATCTTTAAATAAAATATTAATAGATATTTTTTTTCTTCTTCAATGTAATGTTTATACCTGATGGTTAATGTTCTTTTGATATCTTTGGAAAGAACTGACGTGAATTAAATGTCACAAAGTGCAGAAAAATGTGATTGATGAGCAGCTGAAATATGAAAACTTCTCAAGTTTTTAATGTAAACTCACAGTTAACATTCTGGCTTTGGCTATGGGTTTTGGAGTCTTGTCTCCCCTTTGTCAAATTTTGTTATACTAGAAGCTCACTTCTGGTATAAGTAAAATGCAGGTGAGTATTTCACACTTTTAAAATGCTGTAGATTCTTATGGATCTTGGTATGTGATTTGCCCTTGTGATATTATGGAAGATTATCTAAACTGTGAGGTTTTCGGGCTCCTTTCAGTGAAGCCTCGTCAAATTCATAAACATTCCTTCCCTTCTTCAAGCACTGCATAATATTTGCCTGTTAAATGCTGGATTTGTTACTTCAGGTCATTCTTTAAAGCTATTTTTTTCCCCACCTTTTTGCTCCATTTTTTTTGGAAAACAGCAGACGAGAGCTGCTCCTACTTAGTTTGTTACAAGAATCTCTTATTTTGAAGAATGATGTTAATGTGTAAGGCTTACTATGCCCTTGTAACTTCCAGTGGAATCATTTCAAATAAGATGTTGGTACGGCAGTCATTTGGCAATCTGCATGCCTTTAAGTGGGAGAGGAGGACAAAAACATGCAAACTGTCCTTGGAAATAATAATGAGACTAGAGCCCAGTGACGCTAAAACTGGGAGTGTTTGAATTCTTGCTGGTAGTTCAGAAGACAAGATTCTACCTAGTAGTTTAGCAGCACAGAAGATTCTAGGTTTCATTAACTCTGCAGAAGAGAGAAGTTGTGTTCTTGAAGGCATTAGTTCCAGAAAGGGTTGTTTTCTCCGCAGACTTGATTATCTTCAAAGTGCCTGAAATCCTCATAGCTAATCACCTGGTTCCATGACCTCTGCTGCATGTCTTCTGTCTACTCTGCTCTCCTGCCAGAGTTCCCAAAACTGCAAAGAGGCAGGCGGTGGAACTGCAGGGGTGAAATTACAATGGGTGGTGAGCATCAGCAAACTCTGCCTTCTTCCTTACTAAGAAGGGCCAGTGTGCCACCCCTTGTGCAATGATGTTAACTGTTGGGACTGTGTTGAGGAGAGGATCTTGTAGTTGCTAAGGATAGTTTGGTTACTTGCATCCAAGCTGAAATACTGGTTTCAGGAATCTCGATGCTTTTCTCAGAGAAGGGTGAACAACCTTAATATGTATAATGTACATATGTACATAATGTAGTGGTGAGATATGACAGTTTTGGAGTATAATTGTTATGACCAGAGTCCTAAGGCACAGGTTTTCAGATTGATCCAACATGTGGGAGTGTGCTAGGGGTGTAAAAATGATGGAGAGTCTCTAACTGCCTGTCTGCTGTCTTCATGAAGCTGTGATCATGCTTAACCTTGTTTTGTGACCAGGATTTTCTATGTGCCTTTTAATAATGTAACCTAGTAAGCAACCTAGAAACTAGAAATAAGAGACTGAAGTTAAAATCCGGTAATGACTAGGAGGTGCTCAGTTATTTTCATCCTGAAGGCCATATAAGTATGTAGGCAGGTAAGATTTTACGCAGACTGTTTGACTTCATGGACCAATGGATTAATCTGGTGAGAATGAGCAGGTATAGAAGTGTAGGCAGATTTAAAAAAAACAGAAAATGGCAAAGAAGATGCTTTGTACACAGAATATACAGCTCCTCGTAGAGAGAAGATTATTTTTGAGAGAGCATGTGATGCGATGCCCAAGCAGTTTCATTCACAGGCTTTATCCCTGGAATGCATTGTACAGTAAAGAACAGTCTGGTTTTTAGTCTACAAATACCTTGGATGATAAATATGGTGGATGCCTATCCTTTTCATAGGGCACAAATGCATAAAGGGTTCAGTGTTACGTTTTGAATTGTATGACACACAGCATTAATGGCTTTGCTGTTTTTCAAAGCACCTTGTGTATATCTTTATAGTTCCCAGAATCCTATCACCAATAAAATTAACAGAATTTCTTTGGTCATTTTAGAGGTGTATTTGATGCTTCTCTCAAAATGGCTGGGTTCTATGGACTCTACACTTGGCTGACTCACACAATATTTGGGATTAACATAGTCTTCATACCGTCTGGTAAGAATTTGAATATTTATAATCTATTTATAGATAATATTATGTAACGATTGTACAAGGTCGATAGGATTAAGTGCTGCTGCTAAGATTAGTCTCAGTTTTATTTTTAGAGAACTTTAAATCAGATGTCAACTCTTAGAATTAGTTGCATGCCCAACCTTTAGTTGGTTGACTTGAGCAAATGTCTTATGACAGTTCCCAATTATAGAATTGGATGCTGTTTTTCATCATGATGAAACCACCTGGGTCGGTGGACACAGTGTATGGTGCGAACTTATTGAGTAGCTATTCAGAATCTTCTTCTTTGTTCCCTGTTCAATATGCAACCTCATTTTCTGTTTACTCTTTATTGTTCAAAACTCACTATGAAAATACTGTGACAAGAATAACACTTTTATGATAGGCATTGTGATTCCAAAGAGCTTCCTAGCATTGGTTGTTTTCCCCAAGTTTAATTTAAACCACCATGGATCTCATTATCCTACGTAGACTTTACAGTTTTTCATAGCTCTTACTTTCAATATGTTTAGTTCCAGCTGTGAAAGGAGGTAGCACTGCTGAAAACTTACTCGAGGGATGTTTCAGGATGCCTGTGGGCAGGGTGGAGAGAAGTCCCTGGTTGCTACCTTATCTCTTACCCTCATCTTTTTGTGTTTTCACAGCACATCCCCAGCCAACAAACTCCTTCACTTCCCCTGTCTGTTTCTTTTGCTGGTTGTTGTTGTTCCCCCCCTTATATTCAGTCCAGGTGTTCCCAGGTTTTAACCTCATTCTGTCTGCCTTATCTTTTGTTTCTTCTGCAATTGACAGGTAGTTGGTTTTTCAGGATGCCTAAATGCAGGAAGATGTGGTATCATGAAAATGCACAATAGAGGCATGCTTCCTATTTTCAGTGTTGTTCCCTGTCTGTATTACCAGTCTCTGATTTTCTGTTCTTTCATCTTAGTTTTGGAAACAGCTTAACTTTTTTTTTTTTTACAGAAAATTGTTTTGCCAAGTTCCTCTCTTCTCCCCCTAAAAATAGCGGGGCAAGGGGGAAAGTTGTACAATCATGTACTGGGGAGCGTTGTGGGAAGCAGTAAAGCAACACAGAACAGTATCGTGTGAAATGGCAGTATCATAAATTTATTGCTTAAATTTAAATTGCTTACCTTAAATTTATTGCTTGTCATTAGACCAACTTAGAATATAATTGTTCTTTTTCTTTCAGCTGCATGAAAAAATCCTTAATGGTTTTACCTTTTGGTTAATGAGGCTAAAAAAAGAGCAGAAAATGTTTTTATGTTGTGTTCATTCATACTGTATTAAATCAGGATGACACAATTACTATATCACTTAAAATTACAGGAGTATCTTTATAAGCAGAAGGGTGCATGCATTTGTAGAGACACATGTATGCATGCACACGTAAGTACATGCAGTTATGAGCTTTATGTCTGCCTGGTTTCTCACAGCAGTTGACTGTGAGATTGGATAAGTTAAAAAGCTTCACTGAGACTTTGATTTGTGTACTTTCTTGCACCCTTTCTGCTAGTTTATAGTTACGGAAAAGGAAAACTTGAAATGTGCATAATTGGTATAACTTCTGATTTTTCCAAGTTGGTGCCTCTTTTGGAGGTAGCTCTTTGTGGCTAGCAGTTGGTGAAACTTCTCTACATGGGGAGTACTAATAATATGGAGTCATTTTATTGGAAATAATTAGTTCTTTTTGCCTAAACCTCATCTGTAAAACCCCAAGAGCCTTATCTGCCACTTCTTCAGTGTCTTATTTGCAACAGTTGATATAAGTCCCACAACTGGGACTACCAGTGTGGCGAAAGTGTCAGGATTTAAATATTTTGGTAAAATATGTTTCTCTTGTCTCTTTCTGATCTCTGGTTCTTTGTGCTCTAGCACTAGCAGCGATCCTTGGAGCCGTTCCATTTCTGGGGACATACTGGGCAGCTATGCCCGCAGTCCTAGATTTGTGGCTTGTACAAGGACAAGGATGTAAAGCTATTTTGCTCTTGGTTTTTCACCTGTTGCCAACCTATTTTGTAGATACAGCAATTTATTCAGATATTTCAGGGTAAGTATACTGAAGACTTTTTAAAGTTAAGTATTGTAATAAGAATTAATGATCACAGACGCCTTTAGATGTTTTTCTGAAGCATGCAGAAGAGTATTTTTCAAGCACAGGAGCAGGAGTAGCAATATCGTCTGATAGTAAGTTTTACTGGCCCAAGTATCATTACTTTCCCAGGCCTCTTTTCTATAACATTTGTCAATTCAGACATCTTGAACGAGTTCTCAAAGTTGGAGAAATCTATTGTTTTGGCTGGTAAAGTAGTTTTAGAAGTATGAGAATACCTATTTTGTTATCTAATCATAGACTAATGATGTCTGGCATCTTCCCTCAAAGCACCTAATGTCAGATGTCTCTGAAGAACAAACAAGAAATCCGTGAGCTAGTTGTTGACCTGAAAAAAATCCTTTAGTTTTTCAGAATGTATTGTGAGAATTTTGAGGGTCATTTTGGAGCCTCGGTGTTAATTTGAAGCCTGTCTTTGTGTTGTATCACTGTTCCCCAGTGTAAAAATATATTGACTATGGATTGTTGTGTGGTGGTGGTGGTGATGGCTGTTTTTTTTTGAATGTGTTGAGACAGCTGAAATTGGAGATGAGGTCCTACTGAGACTGTAGCTGGTACTAGTCTCCTGTTGTGGGAGTTAGGCACAGAGGACTTCTAGAAAAATTTTGCTAGGTGTCTGCCTGCCTCTATTGACTTGAACTGCCTCCTGGTTTCAGCTTTGAGCTTGAAGCCAAAGAGAAGCTAACTCCAAACTGAGTTGAAAGAAATTCAACGTCTGCAGTTATATCTGGAGAACTAAAAATACTACTGAAATGTCCATTGGCACTTCATGCTGCTGAAATGTCTAGTTGAATCCTTTAACGTAATTCTGACTAGAGAATATACCAGTGATGTATAACAGAGCTGGCAAAGATACGAGCTGCCAGGGTCCTTACGTGCAAGAGATGTTGACAACCACGTACAATATGAATACAAAGCTGAACTCTTCTGGTCATTGCATCAGTTCTGGTCCTTGGAAACAATTCCAGAAAACTGTTTGAGTTGAGAACCTGTAATGACTTACGTGTGCCTCCTCTATCAATCTTTCCTTTAATTCTTGTTCCAGACTTAGTCACATGCTAGAACTAGTCCCTTATTTGTGTTATCTTTATTATAATACAGGTAATGTAGAATAAGGATATTAAGTTTTCCTGCTCTGTGGTAAGTTAGAAATTTTGGGTTTTTGATCACCAAATATAATACCATTGAACAGAGTACACCTGCTGATAACAGTCTGCATAACACATGCTATAACACTGTCCACTTCATGATAAAATGCGCAATATTAAAGTAGGATCACAAACCTGGACTTCAGGACAGCAGACTTCTGCATCTTCAGGGATCCTCCTGGAAAAATCCAATGGGACATGGCCCTCAGCAGAAGCGGGGGGGGACCCTATTTGCTGACTGATACAAGAGTGTTGGCTGATATTCAAGGATCACCACCTCCAAGCTCAAGAATGGTCCATCCCAACAAGCAGAGGTGGCAGAAGGCCAGTGTGGATGAACAAGGAGCTCTAACTACCTATATCCAAACCTATAAAGGAAGCGTGCAAGAGATGAAAGCAGGGACAGATGATCCAGGAGGAATACAGAGACACTGAGCGTGCAGGGATGGGGTTAGGAGAGCCAAAGACCATCTGAAACTGAAAGAAAGGCTTCTTACAAGTACATAAGCAGCAAAAGGAAGGCTAGGGGAAAATGTGGGCTCAGTACTAAACAGGGCAGGGCCCTGGTGAAAAAAGGACATGGAAAAGGCTGAGGTACTGAATGCCACCTTTGCCTCAGTCTCTACTGGTAAGACTGGCCTTCAGGAATCCCAGGCCCCTGAGACGAGAGGATCAGGTTAGAGAACACTGAAGCAAACTGGACAGACGCAAGTCCACGGGCCTTGACGGGATACGGCCACGAGTGCTGAGGGAGCTGGCTGATGTCATTGCGAAGCAATTCTTGATCATCTTTGAAAGGTCATGGTGATCAGGAGAGGTTCCAGAGGCCTGGAAGAGAGCAAGTGTCACCCCTCCCTTTGAGAAGGGCAAGGAGGAAGGTCTGGGGAACTACAGGCTGGTCAGCCTCACCTTGTTCCCTGGAAGGTGATGGAGCATCTAATCCTGGATGCTATTTCCAGATATGAAAGGGACAGGAAGGCGATTAGGAGTAGTCAGCATGGATTTATGAAGGGGAAATTGCGCTTAGCCAACGTGATACCCCTCCAGGATGAGATGACTGGTTTGTTGGATGAGGGGAGAGCAGTGGATATTGTGTATGTTGACTTTAGTAAGGCTTTTGGCGCCGTCTCCCTTAACGTCCTCGTGGACAGGCTGATAAAGTACAGGCTATGGAAGTGGTCGGTGAGGTGGATTGAAAGCTGCCTGCACTGCCGGGCCCAGAGCTGAACGGCCGAGAGGAGTTTTGAAGGGCGTCTCGAAGCCCAGCTGGAGGCCAGTGCCTAACGGTGTCCCCCAAGGGTAGATACTGGAGCCAATGCTGTTGAATATCTTCGTTAGTGACCTGAATGACGGGACCAAATGCACGTTCATCAAGTTTGCTGATGATACAAAACTGGGAGGAGTGGCTGCTCCACCGGAGGGCTGTGCAGCCATTCAGAGGGGCCTCGACTGGCTGGAGAGATGAGCAGAGAGGAACCTCATGAAATTCAGCAACCTAGGGAGGAACAACCCCGGGCACCAGGACAGGCTGGAGGCTGACTTGCTGGAGAGCAGCTTTGCAGAGAAGAAGGACCTGGGGGTCCTGGTGGACAACAAGTTGACCGTGATGAGCCAGCAATGCGCCTTTGTGGCAAGGGTGGCCAACGGTGTCCTGGGCTGCATCAGGCAAAACGCTGCCAGCAGATCGAGGGAGATGAATTTAGGACCAGTAGCTGTTTAACCAGCCAGTAATTTTGCCATTTGCTCGAATGTTTTTTTTCAACTCTAGGGGATGTGAGCTCTGTTTACTGTCCAGAAAATGTATGTGTCGGGAATAATTTTTATAAAAGTAGAGCAAAATTGTATTCTTTCCATTAAATAGAACAGTAAGCGTTTGGCTTTCTTGCAGATTAGATGAAGTCCATTTGAAATAGCTATGATCAGGTTATTCGGGGTTTTGCGAATGTTTTGAATTGATATTATAGTCCTATCTCATCAGATGGCCTTTTATGTGATTTAACAAACTGGCCAGAAGAACCCTTAATCTGTTGCAAGAGTTGGGGAAAAAATTGTCAGAGATTTCACAAAGTTTAGGAGTAAATCACGTCTACTGTTGGAAAAAACCTAAAACTTTGAAGTTAAGTCTGTCCCCTCTTAAAAACCCTCTTTGACCCTACCAGTGTATTAAAACTGATCTATGTCAGAGATGATAATGAGATGAGTGAGATCTAATAGGTCAACATTTCGTGATTTAATTTTGAGCACAGTTGTGATAAAGGCAAGGGTTGCAAGTGTGAGAGCTGGATAGAAGTCAGGGCAGTGGTAGAAATCTAACAAGAAACTGCTCTAAACTGACTAGCTGATATTTTCATTCCGTTATGCTCAGAACTTAGAGCGACTTCCCAAAGGTGGCCCCATTTCGTAGGGTGCTCATTTTAAACTGCAGGCTTTCTGATGTAATTCCATATTTACCGTCATCATGTTGGATTATAAACTGTACGCATGATGAACTAGTTTTTTGTGTGTAAAACTGTCGCAAGATTTGCGTTGTGTGTCAGAACTGAGGTGCAGAAAAGAAAAACTGAGAGGCTGACTTGCTGCCATAATAGCACTTATCAAAAGCGCTATTGGTCCCAACTTCATAGTAAATATTAATAGGTTTATAAAAATCTGTTTTTGTTTTCTGAGAACATTAAAAGCTAATGTGAACAAACACTCCAGGTTTTGTAGGTTGTTTTATGACAAAGTGAGAAGACATGGCTGTTTACTTTTTGAGTGTAAAAAAAAAAAAAAAAAAATTTAACTATTCTTTGAGAGATTTAATTTAAGTTGCTATCATTGTGTAAATTAATGTCTTTGCTCAGGAGCACTTAGAATAAATGTTGCTAGGTGTCTTAAAATTTTAAAATTCTTGAACATAAAGCATGAACAGTCTTTGTAATCAATCATCTTTTCATTTGGAAACAAATGTTCTTACAGAGAACTCCTTCAGACTTTCTTTAATAGAGGCCTAGAAAATAGCTAATGAGATGTGGATATTACCAGCATTACATGCTAGAAAAAAATTGTCTGAACTATGTGCAAATATAGTGCAGAATACAGCTTATAATATTTGTGCAGTCATTCAAACAGCAGTTTATGGTTTGAATATAGGTATCTATAAATAGTTGTGTGATTTTATATACTAAATAAAATGTTATGATTGATTCAAATTTTATAATCCATAGTATTGCTGATTGTTGTTTTAATTTTATCCTACTTGTGCCATAATTCCAGAGGTGGTCATCCTTACCTGACTGGTCTTGCAGTAGCTGGTGGAGCATATTACCTGGGACTAGAAGGAGCCATCATAGGCCCAATTTTACTTTGTATACTCGTGGTTGCCTCCAACATATATAGTGCCATGTTGGTGAGTCCAACAAATTCAGTGCCCACTCCATCACAAGCGGCATGGCCATTACAGATTTACCGGTAAGTTATAAATGGCTTATGCATTATAAGGGAATCAGTGTGTGTTTGTGTGTGTGTGTGTATCCATGTGAGTGCATGCACACATAAAGGTGTACTGAAAGGTTTGGAGAGGATTCAGCTGTTCTGTATTTTAGAAATAAAAATTACTATAAAGTAAACTACTCACTGGGGTTTGTAAACTTGAGATGTGGTTTAATGTCCCTCAACTTCTTATGGAGTGTTATTTTAGAAAATTCACTAGTAATGCCTTTGTATCCTATAATTCATATGTTGCATTTATGTTTGGAGATGATTGAATGTCCTTTTATCCCTGCACAAAGCTATTATTTATGGATATCTAACAATTAATATTCATTGGCCTCCTTAACAGACCTGTCTGCAAATACTGTGCTATGTGTTAGTATGTAATACTGCAAAATTTGAATAAACAGACTTGAAGTTAAAAAATGAAATCGCTTTATATGCTGCTATTCCTTAAAAAGTATGATCTTGCTTAATTTCTTTACTGAAGTTACAGCAGTGCATATTTAAACTGTACAGCTGAGGAATGGGATGAATAAACCGCTAATTGAATACTCAAGAGTTGGAAATCCTCTCGTGATGTTATTAATGACAGTAGCTACTGTTATGTCTCTGTTGCCTTGTTTAATTACATAGGTTAGCTCATTTCACATAACTTAGAGGATTCTGTGCTTGTAAGGAAGAATCTTAACATTATTCATGTGAATGACGCATATCTTCCCTGTGGGTAGCTTATGATAAAAACCACTAATTAGACCTGTCTGTAGTTTCTGACTTGTGGTTTAAGTCATGTTCCAAGACTTTCCGTGTATAGCGTACATAGAGCTTCCCACATTTACCCACACAAATTTGCATGTGTGCTTTTTCCTTTTTCATTTGTAGGAATATAGATATCTTCAGTTACTGAACAAATGAATCATATTTTTTTTCAGGTCGTCTAGAGAGAGTCCTGAGGAGATGAAAACAGCTGCAGAATGATGTAGGGCTGTGCTGCACCAATTCAACATGAAAGAATCACTCTGTTGTCTTGAGTCCACAACAGCCATGGCCTTCTGTCCCTTTTCAGCTGTGTCTAGGGGCAGCTCATAGGGAAGCACAGTTGGTTTTTAGGAGAAGCCACCTCTTGAACATCTGCTGGCCTTACATTATTGTGCACTTTGCCTCTTCAAGAGAGACTTCCCATGGCTTTGCATACTAATGCACAGTTCAATCGCCTTGTGTGTAGACCTTTTGTCTTCATAAAAAGGACGGTAAAGAGACAGGTATATCCACTGGAGTCATTATGCTGTCTGCTGAAATGACTTATTAGGCTTTTATTTATTTGGTTATTTGTGTTATTAAACTGTAGTAGCTTTAAAGAAATCTTACTCCAAAATATTTATTCTCAGTTAATGTTGTGGCTAAAAGGTGTAAACCACTCATTGCTAAACAAAAATAGAATACATTTATTTGCTGCTCCTCAAAGTATTTCTTTAGAGGCTTTGACCAGCACATCAGTCCATAACACTTAAATGTTTTCCTCTTACAAGCACTGAAGTTTAATGTTGTTGGAGACTGATGTTTCTGATATCTTCCTGAAATTCATAGACTTGCAAATTGTTAGATGTGGGGTTTCCTCATACCGAGATGGAGTTGTCGTCTTAGCTAAATTTAATCAAAGGCCTTAAAGGTTTTCAGACAGCGATAACATAAGATTGTCACATCTACTTCCAATAACAGGAAGAGGCTGAAGGGAGATTTAATATTGTTTTGTAAATGCTGTGGCTGATTTCAGGTTACTTTTCAAAGAAATGTAAGCTTGTTACCAAAGGGGGAGGGCCCCCCCCCACCCGCTAAGCCTCTGGACAAATAGCTTAAGAAAGAGAAACCTTAAATTCCCGAAGTGGAGTGTTGCCTAGGTTGCAGAATCAAAATACTTTAGCGCTTTTCTTCCATATGTAATTTTGCTTAAATTGTATTTTTTGCTTAAATTGCATTTTTGGTGGTATTCAAAGCTTTTCCTGTTGGTTGTTGAAATATTCTGATGTAATGGATCTTTATACCCTTGAAAATAGGAAGTGAGTATTGGTATGTATTTGGTACATTTAGTATTCAATTTAGAACAAAGCAATTTAGAGTTCAGAAAGGAATGCTTACAGTAGTAAGGCAAGGCAATGTGATTTCATGGTACTGCAAAGTACAATTCTGTTATATTTTATCATTCTCTTCTAGCAAGTCAGGTTTGTTACAAATGGCAGAGTAATGCCAAAAGGCTAGAGGTGACTGATTTTGCACAGAGTATACCTTAGCCCTTCTTGTTCAAATAAGTTGCGTCTGGGCCGGATTTACCAGTTAATTTCTGGGCAATTCAAAGGTGAGCTGATCTGGTCTTGCTTCCTTCATTTTAGCTGAACGTTACTGTATTGTAGCAGAGTTAGAAGTGAGTGTGCGCAAGCTTTTGAGTTTCTGCAGTCTGCAGCTCAGCAAATGAAATTCAGGTCACTGTAAGCATTGGTTTAGTTGCATGGCGCAACAAACTGCAGCGGGTGAGAACGTGCTGCATGTTCATTTCTGCCAGCCTTGCTACAATGTGGTGACCTTCAGCACAGGCACAGCATGACCAGTTACTTACTGCCAGGGGGCAGTAATGGCTTAATTTGCAACACTGCTTTTTAAAACAGCATCTTTAACACTATAGTTGTACATACCGTATGCCTTTTTCAGAGATTTTAAGTTGATACCCACAGCATCTAACATTGGAGAGAGCAGTCTGATTTTTTCCGTGCACAATGGTATATATTTTCAGTTCATCTAAAAGTACCTTTTAATATGTCTCATTTCAAGGAGTATGTGAATTTTAAGACTTTAGGGAGGATATGTTTGGTAGTATGTAGAGTATATGTGTATTTTGTTGATGATTTATTAGGAAATCCATGATCTGTTTATTCTAACCAAAAAAAAAAAAAGCTTTGTGTATGGAAAATTGGACTGCTGTCTCCAGCATTAGACATTGTGGTTATCAACATAACTTCTGAAAAAGGTGTACAGTAGGTATGGCTGTGATGTTAAATATTATCTTTTTAAAGGCCTGAAAAGACAAAAATGAATAAAATTGCACTCCAGTAAAAGTGACAGCAAAATTGCTGTATTGCTTAATGCCTAGCCCTGGAGGTGGGGCACTGCACAGAATGCTGCCTCTCCTGCAGACCTGATAAAGTAAGGATGGGAAAATAACATTATTCTACTGGACTGTATGGCTTTGCATTCAGTGTAGGAGATGCTCCCACAATTGCCTTTATTCAAACGTGTTCATGTTACATCGGCTTAAGTCTGTCACCGCAAAGAGTTCTGTCTTTATGGAAGCTACCTCTGGAAACAGCTACAGCTTTCTTCAGAAGGTGCTGAAAGCTTTTAGGATTGGAGTTAGTATTCATTGCGTTTAATAATGGAGGTAGCATTGTTCTTCTAGAGATGCAGTTTTCCTTCAAGTTTGCAATTTTACAAGATAACATCAGTTTCCCAATTGAAAAATCTTGACTTAAGTCACAGTTGACATCTGTTAAACATGGATGCATCATCTTTATGAATTCTGTGTTGGCTTACATTTTAAAGAGTTTTTTTTAACTATTAAACTTTTTTGGGAAACCTACTTTGGCAAATCTCTTCCCTTCTTATTTCTAGTTCTACAGAACTAGATTTGCCTAGCATCTCTTCACAAAGGTTATGGAGGTGTGGTCTTTAACATGTTGTTGTTTTTCTGTCATTTTTAGTAGAATACCTTAATGCTTTATAGTATTAAAAAAAAGAAAAACTCCAAAAGCATGTTAAAGTCATAAAATTGGAAATTCAAAAGCATTGTGGAAAATAACCTTCCTATTTTGAAACCAGAAACAATGCCAGAAGTGATGAGCATATTCAAGGATTCTGCACTGGGTTTGTAAATGTATATATTGATATGCAGCATTATATATAAATATGAACACTGTCTTGTATTCAGATCATAACTGAAATTTTGTCCTATGTTTAAGATAACTGAGAACAAAATAGTGCCTATGTATAGGGAAAATAAGCACCACTTTCTGGAATTAGTGTTTACTTGATAAAGGCAGGGGGAGAGCCAAGCAAATATTGCTAGGGTGACCAGAATTGCTTTGCTGTAGTTTGAAAGTTGGGGAAGGCTGATCTTCCCTCTAGTAAGTCATTGCTAAGATCTTACTGGTCCTGGAAGTATTTACACACATCTACCAAAGAGCTGCCAAAATGAATAGGTCATGAAATACCTATGTCTTCAGATCCCCCTGAGTCTCTTAAATTCTTCCATGCCTTATCTGGTACCTTGTTTTTAATCTGGTGTAGGATGGGGTAGTAGTGCTTTATGCTATCTTGACTTAGATGCCAAGATCCATGGGGCACGCTTTGACTGTCTGTACTGAAACAGTAGGTCCAATTCAGGAAAGAATTGCTTTTTGGCAAATTCTGTTGAAGATGGTATTAACAGTAAATATATTCTTAGTGCGCCCTGCATATGGATGAACTTGGGCAAACGTAATTCATGCTGTATTGAATTACATATTATTCTGTGCTCAATATAGCACTATGTAGTGATACTGAAGCTAGATTTGAGTTAGAAGCAGGGCATGTTTGCTTGCAGCAGGATGTTTTTACAAGCTAATTAAGGCATCATGAATATTCTTGCATCCATTTATATGTCTGAAGGATTTCCAGCATGCGATGATTTCAAAACAAAAACGTTGATTCATTTTCCTAGCCTCACTTTTTGTCACTTGACTGTTGTATACAATGATCCAACGAACACCTGAAGTAAAAGAAGTTTTTCATGGTATTGATGTAGTTTAAATGTAAGAGGCATTGCAAAGCTAAAAAGCAGCCACAGAGCAGAAGTCCATTAAGCTTAAGAATCCAGGCCATAGGGTTGGAAAATTAAGAGCTCAAATTTTGGCCTCCTTTCTGCCAATCTCAGCCCTTCCCTGAAGTTTTTCAAGAATTATTTGAAAAAATACTCTCTTGTTTATAACTTACTGGCTGTGTAGATGGATGTCTTCATTTTCCAGTGTTATCACTGGTATATTCTGCAAGCATTCAGTTTGTTCAGATTTCCCTTTAAAAACAAACTTTCATTCAGTGGTGGCCGGAAAGAAACATTTTTGTATTAATAGTTAGGTGATTATATAGGGGTATATGTATTAACTAGCGTTTGAAGTTTTGGTAGGAAGACTAGCAAAGCTTTTCGCCCCCTCTGATAAGTGCAACAAAACCAAATCCAAAGAAAATGTTGACATTGGGTCCTAAGAGTGGCTAGACCCTGCATCTAAAAGAAAATCTTTTGTATTATAGCGCACAGGTTGTTCTGAAGTGTGCATTCCTATCAAGAACTTGGGGATTTGGAGCAATAACTACTATTGTCTGACACAAATTTGTCTGTAAATTTACATGTCACATGTTCTCAGAATGGAATTATGTTCAAAACTAATGTTGCCATAATTGGTTTTGGTATGGTACCTGTTTCTGCATGTGTAATACTAAAAATATGACCCCTATATCCATTTTGTGGCAGAATAAGAAACGTGAGTTAAGATTGGGGAGTGACTTTTGTAGACTGCAGAGTTATTTCAAGTAATTAATTTTGATTGTATGCACTACTCCTCCTCCTAATAAAAAGGATTTTTGTAGCAGGTATAAGAAGCTTTTCACCTAATATTATATTCACACTGCAGTCCTTTGTAAACACAGAATGTTTAATATATTTTGAAATAAAATGCTGTTAATGTAAAGAAAACTGAATTTGACTTGAATGATGGAATCTTTGAAACAAGCCATAAAGGCAGCAATTAATTTTGTGAGATACTGGGTTTGTGGGAGACCAAGTGCAAACATATGGCAGTTGATCTGCAGCAAATGAGCATAACCTGATTTCATTGAGAGTATTATTCCCTCTTCTCTTCACATTTTCCACGGGATGAGGACGTGCCCCTCAACTGTAACTGTGGCTCAGCTGACATCTGGAAACTTAATACCCTACACGTATGCAACCGTGCGTCTAGACCCTTAAAAAGCTTATGTTCAGCGGCTGTAGGTAACTGAAGTTACCTCATGTATGGCTTACTCTGTAAAACAGAAAGGGTTATTTAGTGTCTAAGTGTAATTTTAGATCATTCTATGAACCATAAAGGAAAAGGGATCTAATCCTCCCTGCATGACTGCTCTTACCTTTCAAAACAGGTATGGCTGATGTTCTGCTTTTGTAGCCCTAGCACAGTCAATTTTAGCTAATACCTATTTAGAGAGAGATATGAATGATACTTGGTTCTCTGAACAGATTAAGCCTTGTTTCATTTGGCGCTTGCAGAGTTTTTTGACGGCTGATGCTATAACAATGATTTTCTGAAAATTAGGGCAGATCTTCCAAGATGCTCAGAATTTCTTTGAAGTTGGAACCAAGACA